TTTTTGTGATTTCACTTGTGGGATCAGCTGGTGGACTGACATTCTTTGTGCCTGGCCTTCCACATGGCCTCTTTTTAATGACCGTACCACCTTCTAACACATCAACAGTAAGTGGGTGGCCAACAATTGATTTAGCAGTTAACTAGCTTTTTGGAGAAATATATGGAACAGGTTGTGGTTGACAGAGCCTTTCCACCTCGATAGTAGCATCATACAAACCGGAATCAGCTTTACAGTCTTCCAGATAAAACTCTGATGCGTTGTACTTGAGATTGACTGTAGCACGTGACCGGTGGTAGGGTATTAACCTCTGGGGAACTGCCAGCGCATCAGTTTGTCCTCTTGTGTGAGTTCCATCGGCATAACAGATGACTTTTCAAACTTAAATTCCGCAATTGGTCCTGACTTTCTGAAAGAGCTGTCCAGATTAGTACCTGATGTGTCCACATTGTCATGTTTCTTGCGTACTTCCATTTTTCTCGAATTTGACTTTCTTTTTCCTTTTAGCTGCCACCGAGCATCAGAACCCCAACAGATAGAACCCAACTCATTGAGCTCCTCAGTCCCTGAAATCGCTGAAGAGCCTAATGTAAACAGAACAGCAGTATCTGGGATCAAAAGGTATCAATATGCAAATTATATGCAAAAACCATGGAGAAAAGCCAAGTCTATAAATGAGAAGGTACTTAAAAATAACATAAGTTTTGCCATAGAATTCTCTACTCGCTTTCTGGGTGGTGATTTTGAATACAATCACTTTCAATCTTAAATGAGTGAACAATGGCATCACTTCTGCGAGCATATTTACACATCTTCTTTGATGAATTAGATGCGGACTCCTTAGCTTTCTCAATGCATGAATCGAACTCTCCGCGACGAAAAGCTTTTACTCTTTTTGATGTCTTGAGATTATACCAGCCCCTGAAAGAAATTTGGCAATAATATAAAACTAAATTATCTCATACTAACTGAAATCTAAGGATCTTTTAAGAAAGATTAAAACTGAATGGAAAAAGAAATTAAGTAATCGCTGAACAGAAAGTGCAAAATGAACCAACCCTATTAATTATTGATATACGGGGAACTGAAATTTTAGTTCTAAATATTGCTTATCAACTTGTCCTTCAAAAGGTCAAGGGCAAGCTTCACCAGGTTTTTAAGAAACAATAATTTTCGTAAGTACATACATTTAACCTTAGCCAAACATGATCTAAAAATAGACTAGTCTTCTCAGGATAACAAAGCATGTTATATCACTGGTACCAAATAATATTATTTTGAAGCCCAAGCTCAAAGACTTAAAACTAGTTTCCTCGTGATATTTAAACTCTTACTTAATGTAAAAAGACACAATGACCATACTTCAACATGAAACTACCTTCTGTACCATTAACTTTCTTAGCTCGTTGATTGCCAATGATACAAGGAAAACAATGATTATTAAATACAACAAAACGTTAAAAAATTATTGCCAATGATACAACTGAAACAATGATTGCCGAATATGACTAAATTTTACTAACATTACTCCCATGAAGAGAAAAAATGATAGGGTGCAACTATTACTGTGTATGGACTTATGACAGAGCACATGAAGAGTATAATAGAATAAAATTCTTGTTTTATATAGAATAACAAATATTTGATCCTTACCATTTGTCAAATAAAGTAACCAAAATTGATGTTTTAGCAATGAAGCAAGAACTGAATGAGTCACTTTGCGTGATTTTAAATAAAATGAAACTATTATCTCACTTCTATACTATGCATAGTAACAGAGGATCGTATGGATAACAAAATACAAATCCTAACCTTAAATGTGAAGAATGATTAAATTATAATCACAAAAAGAAGTATCAACATTTCTTGACGAAATGAAGGGACTAAAAGAGGCACTTACAAACATG